TTGGTTTTGTGTGTAAGCCTGCGATGCCAGAGCAGTGCTGATACTGTGCCTGCAGCATTCATGCCTTCGGGGTGCACACGTATCCAGAGCAAGACCTTAGGCGTATATTTAGGTGGGAAGAAGAAAGCCAGCAGCGTAGGAAAAGTGTGCCTGGGGTTGTGCCCTCGGGCTGTGTCACTAGGTCCGTGCTCACCGCTGGGGCAGGAAGCAGGAGGACTGTGGCTGTGCCGGTAACGCTGCTTGCTCCCCAGACACCCCCAAACCCCAGCAACAAGGGAGCTGCTGGGGATACGAGTTGCTTTGTCACACGTTACTCTCCTTTTTCTGGGCTGGGAATAGACCCTCTTTCCCCCAGGAAGGCTGGGGTCCAGGAGCAGACATTTCACCCACCCTGAAGGTTGCTCTGCTGGAAACAGGCCATTGCCACCAGCATTGTCCTGGCAGCTGCAAGGGGGCCCCTAGCACTCCAGTGGAGTGCTACTGGCCCGTGGCATAGAAGATGATGGGTTACCTCATTAGGAACCATTTGCAGTGGTTTATAGCTTTGACAAATTATTTAATTACCCAAACCATTTTTTTTTTCTGTCCTGAATGTCTGCCTTAGGCAAAATATTTTTAGAAAGCTGTTACACAGGTTGGTTGGCTGCTCCTGAGATGAGGTAAGGGCACAGAAAAAAAGACTTCTTTTCCCCTATCAAAAATGTGAGGTTGTGCAAATGATCTGCAAAGGCACAGCAACTCTGACACCTGCCTTGAGAGCACAGTGGTGACTGTCCTGCTCTGAGTGGGTGCTGCAGTTGGGATTCCCCCAACAGCACTATAGCGAGCTGAGTTATTGCCCTGCTCCTTCTTGTGCCTCTGTTGCCAGCTGTGGAGTTACCCTGGGGCAAACCGGAGACGAAGAACTCCACGTCAGCAGGCTGCAGGAGACGGCTCTGAAGTTAATTTAGCTCTGAACACCTCTTCCCTCCTAATTTCTTGGCTCATTGATTGCCACATGGGGATGCTACCTCCACACCGTGTGTGGAGCAGTGTACCATCTCAAAGAGTAGGTGTTTAGCAATGTGTGTTCCTTGTCTCAGTTTCCCTTTATGGGGTCGTGTGGACCCACACAGACTCCCACACTGGTGAAGTGCTGTGTCCCTGTGACATGAGAGCAGCTACTTTGTCCCATGTCCCCATGGGAAGACTGTGGTCTGGTCTCTGGTTCTGGCACCTTTAAGCTGGCAAACTGTAAAAGCTCTTCCACTTGGCCTTGTTCATTCGGAGGATCAGGGTTTGTTTTTTTTTCAAGGCTTAGAGGAAACATGTCATCTTGTGTTTAAGTGAAGGCCACTAACACCATAAGTCACCTTTACTGGTAACACTGCCTGCAGATGTGTATTTTATTCCTCTGTAGTTCAGATGGGCCTATTGCTAACCCTTGGCAACACAGGTAGACACCCCTGACAGCTTGTCTGTACTTGACCAGCAAGTTGCAACTGAGCTTTATTTTGCACTACCTTTATCAGACAGTTGGGGGACCAGTTTCCCACTGGTATCTGAGGACTGCAGAGCAGCATCATTGCCTTCTTTCGTAGAATCATAGAATGGCCTAAACTGGAAGGGACCTTAGAGATCATTTTAATCCAGCCTCCCTGTCGCCAGGGACGCCACATCTCGACTAGATCAGGCAACACATCCCTGCAAAGCTGGCAGAGGATTTTACCCCTCATTACCTGAAAATCTTTCAGCATCTTCAAATTGTCATAGCAGAAGTCACCTTCCATTTCAGCTGCCCACAAATAAGGACATAGGCAATATTTCCTCCTTCCAAACACCATGCAAACTCCTGATAGTCACTGGCAGCAGAGACAAATTAAAGCACTGTTGGCTCCGTGGGGCAGGGACCACCTCAATCTGAATATTTTTGCACAGCTGAGTACACTGCCCAGGCTAAGCAAATAATGAGTAATGACCATTAAATGATTAATGAGATGCTAGCAAAAAATAATTGCAGCATTGTGAAATGTGGTTTGTCTTCACTAGTAATGTTTTCTGGAGATTAGATACTGCTGTGTTTTGCCTTGTAACTTGATTAAAGCACCAACATGCAGCTCACTGCCAGTGAGGAAATACATGGCTTAGTTATGTGTTGTTCTTCTTAAGAACTTGTTATATATTGCTCTCCTGGCCATTAGCACTTAGCTTTTTGGCTGATGTGGAAGTCTTGTTTCCTGATCTCTGCTTTATCCCAACCTTGACCTAATTCACACCATTTCTGATTCAGAGAGCTTTTTGCAAGGCCATTTATCTGCTTGGCTTGGAGCTGATGCTGCAGTGAGATTGTCTGAGATGGTGTCTCTTCTCCTGAGTGAATTAGGGAATAAAGTGGAGAAGTAGGGAATAAGGCTGATCTCTCAATAACCCAGCTCAGTGATTTTCAGACCTTTTCTAATTTCCTAGCACTCACATGTCTTCCAACGGAAGTGTGGCCCCCAGATAGCAGATTTAAGGCTGCTGACATTTAACTAGCTTTTCCTGATATTTTTCTCAGATTT